ACACACACACACATACATACTCACACTCATGTACACATATACATATACATATATATCCTTTACATACCATTGGTTGCCTTAAGCGAGCGACTAGGATAGACTTTTTGTATATTTAGAAACGGAGGCGGTTTCGGGAACTCGGTAACATTATGAAATCTCTTGCCAAACTTTGCCTCCAAATCGATGACAAGTCGACCAACTGATGCACTCCCACCCACTCCAGTTCCAGCTCCAGCTCCGGCTCCAGCTGCTGCTCCGGTTGCCAGGCCACCGTTGCTGCCAAAATTGTGCGTCGCATTGGCCATGTGCGTGGGCGGCGTAAGCGGGGCATTGGCCCGTATAGATGAATGGCGTTGGGGCGGCACTGGTGCCTGCTGCTGTTGCTGTTGCTGTGCTCCACCCTGCAATCAAAAATTAAATGCATTAAGTTGCCAGCCAAATTAATGTTAGATAAGTAGAAATTCCGTTACACTGCGCCTTTGATTGTGCATCAGCATTGTTGTGAATAGCCTTGAGATTCTTTGCTCTGCTTTTACTTTGAGTTTGGACAGTTGCCTAATCCTGCACAACTTCACATAATATGTACGTGAAGCCACCACTGAGTTGCGTGAAGGACCAAGAAACTAAATTGCACTTTAAGCCCACACAAACAGCACAACAAAACAAGCGTGCGATGAGCGACAATCCGTATCGAAGCTGTTTGGGTCACGTATTGTTGGAAAATCCATAAACGGTTTGTGCGCAGCGGAGAGCAAAGAGAAAAGAGCGAACGCGCAGAGCGCAACGCAAAGGAACCAAAATGAGAGCAAATTCTGCAGTGGGCGAGTGTCAGACAGAGAGAGAGCGAGAGAGAGAAAGCCCTAATGTTACTTTTGTGCACTGTAAGAAATTTGTAAATTAGTAATAAATGGCGAATTTATTTTAGTCAGTGATGACGACTTTTTTTAAATTTGTCTAAAAGGTTTAAAGCAATTGCGCTCTTGAGCAGACTACATTTTCTGTTTACATTAAGTTCAATTGAACGGCTCACTAAGTTGCATTGCTGAACTTGTTTAGTGATCAGTGAGCGATGCAGTTCAGTTGGATGTGAACTTTGCTCTTTGCATAGTTATGGAATCAATCGAGACCAATCGATTGGCTCAAATGTTCGATAAGATATTCATCTGCCACTCGTGAATGAATAATTGACCAATAAGAGTCTTCAATAAATTTTATGGTTTATGTACTGAATAAAAATATCGATATAAATTGCGCTGACTAGAATTTCCGCTTCAGTTTTTTTTCTATGCCATCAACTCTAATAATCGTTTTTGCAGTGTATATTAGCTTAACCTAGTACAACATTTGTTCTCAGCTGGATTACCTTTGGCATATGCGCCAACTTGTTGTTGACTCAACTCTACTCTACTCTACTTACGTTGCTCGACTGTCGCATCGGTGGCGGGGGCGGCGGGCAGCTGCGATGGGGTGGCAGTGCTGGCGGATTGATGGGCCCACCATTGAGTATAATGGGATTGACCTTCTCACGCATTGTCGACGACTTTGGACTGGCTGTGATGCCGCTGGGCGGAGTTGGCGGCGTTCCGCTGCCATTGACGCGGAATTGGTCGCGTAGAGCGGCCACGCTGCTGCAGCTGCTCGAACTGGAGGGCGGCTGCTGCAACGGTGGCGGTGATGGCGCCGGCGTCGTAATAGTCGCACTCTGCACCAGCGCCGTATTCACAGCACTGAACGGCGCCGCAATGCTGCTCAGATTGCTGTTCGAAATGCTGCGCGATGGGGTCGGTGGCGGCGGTGGCTTCACCGAGGGACGTGCTGCGAAAGGAGTGGGGATTAGAGATGAGCATAAAGTATTCCGTATAAAAAAATTGATTGAATAATTTTCATTTCAACAGAAATTATACTCGTATAATGTATTGGTATATAAGGACGGAGCACTTACTCTTTGGCGGATTGGGCGCAGTGCGAATGCTGCCCGTTATGCTATTGGTGCTGCCACTGATGCCCTCGCTGAACTGCAGCAGCAGCGTCTGCTGAAGCGGTGCGCGCATTGTGCCAAAATGTTGTTGCGTCGAGAAAACGGGTCCATTAATGCCTCCAGCAGCCGGTGGAGATCTGAGTGAGAGGAGAGAGAGAGAGAGATGGGAGAGAATGTAGTGTGTGAGAAATCATGCGAGTATTGCGGGATTCAAGCTGTGCAGGATTCAAGCTGTAGCCAAACTCCAAACCATAGGCGCGCATCTAAGGCAGCATTAAGCGTGGTGCGTGGCCCAGAGGCCAATATGATGTTTATATAAACAGTGAGAGAGAGAGAGAGAGTGGATGAATGCTATACCTGGGTGACTTCATGCTGTGATGTCGTGCCACCGCTGGACGCTGATGCCCATTGGCTAACGCCAGTTGCTGCAAACCCGGCGGCTTTGGCGCAAAATTTGGCTTGCCAAAGCCAATTGCTGGCTTCTGTTGCTGTTGCGCTATGGGTGGTGTGGGCGTGGACGCTGGCGAATTATTACTAACATCACCACCAACACCACTATTGCTAACAAAACTACCGGTGCCACAAGCACCACCGAACAGCGCCGACTTATTTGGCGCCAAATTGCGCAGGCCTCCGCCTCCTGCTCCCGCTCCCGTTCCCGTTGTTGACGCCGTTGTTCGATTTGAGTTTGTTGCTGTTGCGGCGGTTGTTGTTGCGCTTGTTGTTGTTGTTTTTGTAATTGAACTATTTACAAAACTATTGCCTAACGAGATACTGTGTACAGGTGTGTATGCGTGTGTGTGTGCGTGTGTGGTGTGGTGTGGTGTGGTGTATTTGGACCAGGAGTTGTTAACCAATTAAAGTCCCGGCAAAGAAACCAAAAAAACAAAAAATTTAAAATTTTCAGAAAATTCATACAAAAAGAATAAAATTAGAGAAATACAAAAATACAAAAAAAATGTAAAATTCAAAAATTGAAATATATCAAACATACGTAATTACAAACATTCCATTTCCAGCCCGCACCCAAGCAGGCATACCGCCAGCTGGCCAAAATGCGATGGAACTCACCTAAGATTAGCCGCTTTGCTCTTCACGCTGCCGCTGCTGTTGCTGCCGCTCTCCGAGAGCGTGGGCGATGCGGCTTTTACCTTGCCATTGCCAATGGCACTCGCTGACGCTGACGACGATGCCGACGCCGACGCCGACGTCGACGTCGTTGATGATGTCGCTGTGGGCGTTGCAGCTGCTGTCCGAGGTATGTTCATACGTTCCAATATGGATTCGCTGGAGTTCTAATGGAATAGATCAAAGCAACAATTGTTTAATGTGTGCAGAACAGGAATATACAACGCGAACGGGTTATACAACTAATGTAGAAATGTATAGCCAGCCATTATAGCTAAATCTTTCAATTTATTGATCAAGCTATGCTCAACTTGGAATGTCAGCATTATTATCTAATAATATTATTATTATAATATCTGGCTAATGGTTTAGCTTCTGTAAATTATGATAATGATGATGATAATGTACAGGAATCTTTTACAACTCTTTCACAGCTTTGCTTAAGCAACTATTATTAATTAAAATACTTGAAAAAGTTTTGTATATACATATACTTTGACAACTTGGATCAAGCGACTATTATTAATTAAACTTAGATAAAATGTATTGTATATATACTTTAATTTACTTAATTCATAATTTTCCAGAAAGTTTTATTTACTTAATTCTTAGGTTTCCATATGGTTTATTGTTATAGTCATAAAGAAGGATTGTTCTTTTTTTCAGAGATTTTATTCTATGATAATTTATATAAAAATACTATATAGTCCAGTTATAAAGACGCTCAGGGCAACGTCGTTATATCTGGAAGATGCTATAGCCTTATAGGTTTGCTCATATAAGTTTCCCTGGGTACCGTGCGGACGCTATAAGCGAAGTCACTCTAGACGGATTCTAGTGTAATTAGATTATTATAAAACTACAAGCTGGACTTGGCCGTATGTCTAATTAGATCACAATATTTTAAATTCAATTGAAAATTTGATGAGACTGAGCTTTAACAATGCTCTTATATATATTCTAGACAAATCAACTAGTCTTGACTCAAGACTCACTTGACTCACTTAATAGATTTCTTGAATCAGCATGGATTCTTTACTAAACTTACTCTGTAAGTGAGGTGTTTATTTATAAGCAACAAAGAGTTTCTACATTAATATGAATACACTTCTAGTTTCAATTAACTTACACTTCTCTATAATCTGATATCTATATATATACATTAAATATAATCAATTTATGTATCTCCTAGCTCTTCCATCAGTAATTCTACTTGCTCTACATGTACATCTATATATACATATATACATTAAATAACTTTAAT